TATCTTTTATTTCAAGTTCAGAGATCTGCAGTCAGTATTGGCTGCTGTTATTGGCTGCTAGCTTCAGTCTAGTCAGTCAGTAACAACAATACATTTTGACTTTTATTTGATAAAATTAATAAATCAGTGCTAGGTGCAAAACAAAACAAAAAGAAAAAAAAACAAAAGGAAAAAAACTTAAAACAAAAGAAAAAAACTAAAAACAAAAGAAAAAACTAAAAACAAAAGAAAAAAATAAGCACAAAAAAAGAACAATTCACAGTTGATACATGTAAGCTAGGGAAAACATGATTTCTGTTCGATATCTTTATATTTTATCTTGTTTGTTATGAATATTTTTAATATTCCCAACAATCAAAATGAATTTGAATTACCATATTTATATTGGATTCCCAAACTTCGTAAAAATCCTTACAAACAAAGATACAAAGCGGGTTCCATTAAATGTTCTGCCAAGCCTCTTTCTTTACCGGATACTCCTCACTAAAATATTAACAACAGTGAAGAAGAAACTTCAGGAGTATTGTGCAATAATATATTCGAGAAGTGGTGTAAATCAGATGTGGATACGTAAAAAATTTCAAGGAACTTTTGGAAAATTTGCAATCACAAATTTTACAAAAAATCAATAACATCAAAACTTATGACTTTTAAGCTCTGTATACAACCATTCCCCACAATAAATTAAAGTCCAGACTTTTTGACATCATTGACAGCTACTTTTTTTTTTTTTTTTAAATGGAATTCGTAAATTTATTTACCTTGTCATTGGTCATTTGCAAAATTATTTTGTTAAAAAACATTCTGATTGTACACATATATTGATTTTTGACAGATCTATTTTTGTATTCATATGAAGCAGAATTTGTTCAAAATCTTATAAATGAGAAAAAGAAATCTCTTACCGTGGCAATAGTTATTTCCATTTAAATGTCGACACGATATATCTCAGTGAGGTTGAAATAAAAGATACCACAGAGTCTGAAACATCTGTTTCATATTTGGATATTTTACTAGAAAAAGACGTTAATGGTAATCTAATAACAAAGCGCTTTATGATAAACGTGATGACTTTATCTTTTCAGTCGTCAAATTCCCTTATGCAACAATACCATTATCGTCTGCATAGGGGTTGTTTATCTCTCAGTTGATTCGATACTCAAGAACATGTCCTACGTATGAACGATTTCTAAACGAAGCAAGCTATTGACAAACAACTTGATGAAACAAGAATACAGTGTCGTTTAAAGTCATCATTACGTAGGTTCTATATTCGATACAATGTCCTTGTCAGCAAATACAATCTATCATTAACTCATATGTTGACTGACGTTTTTCATACTAATTGTTAGGCCATTATTTACGCACTGAATTAATTGTCGACGGATATTTCCGTTATTTATAGCGATCATGACAAGGAGTACACGGCGGGTGTGACCGGTCGGCAGGGCATGCTCACTCCTCCATGGCATCTGAACCCACCTCTAAAGATTTTGGAGGTCCATGTTTGCTCTAATTCCGATTCGTATTGTTTGAATGGACTTTGAGCTTGAATATTGTTTGTTATCTCCATATTTCTTATTAAAACAATCAATCATCATGGAAATTAATTAAAGTTAATTTATTCATATAACCACCCGAGTGTATTTTATTTGGGCGGATTTTTTCCTAAATATACATTTTTACATCGTTTGTCATACAGTTAATTTATTTGTTGGTCCTTATCGTTTATATATAGTCAGTAAATCATCCAAATTTGAAACAGATGTGGCATCTATGCGATGTCTTTTATTTCGAGTTCACTATACTGAGTCGACATTTGAATGGAAATTACTGTTGTTAATTGATAAAACGTCGTCGATTTAACTGAATGTAGAGTTGAAGGCCACATCAAGTGTTTTCGTCTCCTCATAGAGAAGTTTTTGAATAAAACTTCCGCTTCACATCAATATAAATACAGGTCGACTTATAAAAGAAGTAGCACAATTAGTGCCTATCGGAATTCCAACAGTTTGCTGGAAGACCTGGTCTGATGTTGTCAATGAGGAACTCCATCATCCTTTTGATATCAACTTCAGAGTATTTTGTGTAGAATCAGAGTGATTTACAACAAAGTAATTTGGCTGAAAACCAATCACAAGATATGAAAATTACCGAGTTCCATTTTTATTGAAGAAGCAGTTGTCTATGATATAAAAAAAACCCCTAGTTTTTCAGATATTTGATGTATAATAGAAAGATATATGCTATTTTCAGTATATATTCAAATAAAATAATGCTGATAAAATAAGTTTTACAAAATGAGAAGAACAGAAAAAAATGAACTAATTGAAATGAATAGACAGATTCCTTCAAGTACATTCAGTTTTAATTACAAGAGATATCTCTCCTTGAAAAATATGTAAAATAATAATTTCTGTAAAATTTTCGAGGTGACCTGTGGATTTTAATTCATCAAATTATATTGAACATTTGTGTGGATCTCCTCACCAAACGCTTTTTTTCCAAATATTAATTTCTTTATATTTTATTTCTGAAAATGATACTTTTCCCATCGCTTCTATATTAAATTAGTTAGATCATATTTAATTTTTAAAAGAATCTCTTGGTAAAGCTTTTCCTTTTACTCTGATCGTTGGAATATTTCACATTTTCCTTGATTTGATTATTTGTTTCTTTGTTGGGGAGATAAAATTTTGCTATTTATATATCGAATACATTAATTTATCGTGAGGAATGATAGTATATAGTGTAAAAATGCCGTACGTTTTTATGTTACTAACATTTGAACAATTATTTGATTTTAAAGTTTTCTTAAAAAAAAAAAAAAAAAAAAAAAAAAAAAATACTTATGTCCAAGCAATTGCTTAAGAGTTTAAACTCATACGAAAAATTAAGTTTTATTTTGTATTCTTCATGTTACAATATCCTACGGACATTTTTGATTATTTGATTCCTGTGATATCCTGTGATATTTAAATATTAAATTGTGAATTAATGTTATTTTTGTGATCAATAAGTATATTAAAAACATCATAATTGAGTATTGATTCTTATTTAGATTCTTCTAAATAATAAAGTGTTTTCAAACCACACTGTCCTTTGACAATTAACTCAGTTCTCTAATCAACATAGAGATTAGAGAGTGGAAGATGAAATTTTTATCAAAAGAAACAATTTAAGATTTCAATGCATTTCGTTAAATTAATCTTTAAAAATAACTGATAAAATGTGTTTGAAAATCTGGTTGTTTATTCTCTAAAGTGTTCTAGGTTAAAATTCTGGGGAAATGTCGGACTGGAGACAGAATTACTTCCCGCCCTAAAAAAAATTCATACACCAGTACTTATAAACGTGACATAGCTCCTAACGTAACTTATCACACTCTGGGAATCAGTTGTATTACGTGGTAAATCATGTCAAATGAATTTGATTAATTATTTAGCGGTAATTATACTGCAATTTCTAAAAAAAAAAAAAAAAATTGCCAGTGGACTGAATCAAAAAAAAAAAAAAAAAAAAAAAAAAAAAAAAAAAAAAACCAGAACAAAGATACATGTAGCACAGAAAAAAAAAAAGTCACGTTGTCGGCAGGATTCGAACCTGCGCGGGGAGACCCCAATAGATTTCTAGTCTATCGCCTTAACCACTCGGCCACGACAACTGATGGAAAACAATGGTGTTTAAATACGATAGCTTATAAGAAATAAACATATATATCTGATGCATGCCCTCCTTATTATACATACGAGGGGTTACCAAAATGTTCGTGGACTAGCGCAATAAAATTAAAACCGCTTTAGGTACTTCAATGAATTTTAAGACATTTCGTAAGCGTCATATTTTTCTACCTTCAGAATAAACCATAAATATTATAAGTCTTATTTTTTAATAAATTGTTAATGGTTTTGTAAGCAATGGTTTGTAACGACGGCACAACCTCGAACAATTGTTCCAAAAATTTGCAATTTGACACTGATATTCTTAAATTTTCATCAACCTATTTGTCAATATCTCATCTCGTTTTAGAAATTGTTCATACGTAGAACATGCTCTTGCGTATCAAATCAACTGGGAGTCGTAAACTCAATATATGCAGATGATAAAGATTTATAGCTTTATAAATAAGAGAAGTTGACGATAGAAAAGTTGAAGCCTTCACGATTATCATAAAGTTTTGATAAATTGCTGTATTCGTTTCAAATACGCAAGCAATAAAAATGTAAAAGAAATAAATAAATAAATAAATAAAATAAAAAAAAATGTAGGAATCTAATCTCTAATTCTGAAGAGGACGTCGCATTATTCGACGGAAATTTCAGTTGTTTATTTTACAATATGCTTACTCCTCCTATAGGCACCTGATCTCACCTCTGGAATTTCCGGGGCTCCATTTTATATGCCCTGTTCTAATATTTGTATTGTTTATAGATTTCTTAGAGATCGATATCTTTCTTTATCTCCACCTTTTTCAATTTGGCCAATAAAAGTTTTCGGTCATATATATATATATATATATATATATATATATATATATATATATATATATATATATATATATATAGTTAAAATATTAACAGTGACATATAGGTCCTTTGGGCCGGATGTAAGAAACTAAGTTTACTGTTGTAAAATACATTGTATTACTGTATCAATACACATGTCACTATAATAACTAATTTAATTTACTTTACTCAAAAAAGTCCATTTAAATAATATAAATTGTGAGCAGAGACACCCCGGCCTATAAGAAAACTTCTGATCCGGGGGGGGGGGGGGGGAGATGGTGATTTCTTGTCCAGTTAAGACAGTGTTGTGATGGTCTTGAATTCTATCGAAGGGAACCAGTTTCAAATACTGAAATTCAGCACGGAAACTATTTACCGCACATTATCTGCAAACACAATATAGTCGATTTATTCAAGTATCTTATATGCATATTTATTACATACAGAAAAAGAAAGATTTTCTTAGAAGAAAATAAATTCAGGCAAAAACTGTTCATTTCAAAGGTTAATTTTATTCCTGATATTTTAATTGGAGCAAAAAAATATTTCAGAATTCGCTACCTTCCACTAAATAAAATAAACTGCATTCTTAACAAAACAACAACCCTTTTATTTTGTGATTAACAAAGCTCAATGCTCTTACTTTAATTATGACCACAAATATTAGTGTATTAACTTCCATATCCTTAACAGCATGAAAACTTACATCAAAAAATCCTAAAATTTTTAAAATGACAATGAGAGATACATAGTACGGATAATGATGTACTTAACTGTATACATGCATAAAAAGGGGATTTGTTTGCGAAACACTATTGTCCCATCTAAAAATGTTCCAATGCTTCTCTGCTATAAAAAATATACCAAGACGGGCTGTATGTCAATGGCAATTTTAAACCGACCGCACAAAAGATAAAGCTTTATATTAAAACAGACATGTAAAAAGAGACTCCAAATTTCGTTTTAGAAATCTGACACTGAATATGATTATTTTGTTGTATATTTCAGTGAAATTTTTTGTTTTAAAAAAAGTCATCAAAAGTATTCTTTAAAACAAATAGTACTAATTCTTTATCCAAAGAATCATATCCTCACAAACTGATTCTGTTGAGAAGGGGGAAACATCCTCCAATGAATTGACATGACTTTGCTAGATACATCAGATCAATTAACTGCTCAGCAGTAAGTTAATAACATTGTATTTAGCAACCTGTCTCTAAATTCATTAAAATTGATATACATCATATACTAGGTACAAATCTATCTTCAATAAATCAGCAAAAAACTCCAAGAACAATCCATATGTGATACATATAAGCTAGGGAATTTGGAATGATCAAAAGCATGAGATTCAAAAACTTAAATATACAGCATCAAAACTTGGTACATGGTAACAATTGTGCAGAAAAAATTTATATGACTGACAATACTCTAAGGCAGTTTATAGCAAACAATACACAGTGTCAAAAAATATAACTCATTCATCCTTTAAAAAGAATTCTAATAAATATATTATTACACTCTTCTTTAACATTGAATCACAGCAGAAAATTTATAATTTTTATCCAGTTTTACAATTGTGAAAGTTACTGGCAAATGAATCCCTGGAATCCTGAAGGACTTTTGTTTCTGGTGGGATTTCATGGAGAGCACATATAACATGAATGACGACTCGAGTCCACATCCAATGACAAATCCAAATAGAACACTCTTTAGTAACAGCACAAATCGCAAAAATTCCACACATATATGAAATAAATATATCAAAAATATATAACAAGAGTTATGAAAAACATAAGATTTTTTTCCTCATTTGAGAACAAATTACTATAGGAATACCGTAGTTATCTTAATTTACATTCTTCAAATATTTCTAATATCATTTTTAATTAACATAACTACATCAATATTAGAGATGGAATTAATAGTACAATTTAGGTATTTTCTATCCCATTCATCTCCAAGGAACATATTTATCAATTGATTATTGAAAACAGTGATCTTTTATGCAAAAAACAAACAATTTCAATTTTTTCAAACCTCAAAATTATGTGGATTATATCTCTCCTTGATTACGCATACAGTTACTTTTTTGTTCATTGGTTTCTACTTTTGTTCTAATAAATCAACGTCATGTTTTCTCCCCTAACATTTCAATTCTTAAACATTAACAAAAATAAACTTTCATTTATTAATCGGTACAAATAAAATGACTAGATATGACAAAATATTTTAGAAAGCACTAAGCCTATGGTCCTTAATGCTCACCTGAGTTACCTCAACTTCACATTCCTTCCATCTTCAAGCTTACAATAATGGGGTTAAAGGTAATGGTGAAATATGTTACAATTCATGACTAATGTTCATGAAAAAAATGCTATGAATGTTTTTCTATATTCCTATAAAATATTCATGCCTTCTTTCATTTCTTATTTGATTCTCATTAGAGATCTTTATTATATAAACAGACTTTTGTTCTAATCCACATATACTATATTGTCTAAACTTCAAAATCAGCATTGATTTAATAATAACCACAACAAAGTCCCATTTAGAAAGGGTCAGGCATCGTAATTCAAGAAAATTAATGTTAACATACATAATAGAAGAAACGTTACTCTTTCATAAGTTTGACTATGTCTTTGTATTTCTGTGTGGTTTTTTATATAAAAAGGTTGAGGAGTACCTATTTTATTTATCCCAGTATTATATATCTGGGTCAATCTCTTTTGAAAAACAAGAGGCCCATGGGCTACTTCGCTCACCTGAGCACAACGGCTAGGAAAAAGCACAAATCAGTTCAGTATTGAAAAGTTTACAGGGGGGGGGGGGGGGGGTGGAATTTTAAACTACCTGAGAATGCTTCCATATCAATATAACAAATGACTTTGCAGTTCTTCAGTAGAAGATTTTTAAAGATTTTTTCCTATATATTCTTATGTAAAACTTTGATCCTCCATTGTGACCCCACCCTGCCCCAAGGGGTCATCATTTGAACAAACTTGAATCTACACTATCTGATGATGCTTCCATATCAATATGACTAAACAAGGCTTTGCTGTTCTTGAGAAGGTTTTTGAAGGTTTTTTTTCTATAAATTCTTACGTAAAACTTTTATTGCCCACTGTGACCCAACCCTACCCCAAGGGGTCATCATTTGAACAAACTTGAATCTACACTACCTGAAGATGTTTCCATATCAATTTGACTCATCATGGATTTGCTGTTCTTGAGAAGAAGATTTTTGAAGTTTTTTTTTCTATATATTCCTATGCAAAACTTTGATCCCCCATTTTGGTCCCAACCTACCCCCACAGGCCATCATTTGAATAAAATTAAATCTACCCAAGTAATTCCTATAAGTTTCAACTTTTTTGGCCCAGTGGTTCTTGGGAAGATTTTTAAAACATGCCACCAAATTTTCACCATGTCTGAATTATCTCCCCTTCAATGAGGGTGTGGCCCTTCATTTGAACAAACTTGAATCCCCTTCACCCAAGGATGCTCTGTGGCAAGTTTGGTTAAAATTGGCGCAGTGGATCTGGAGAAGAAGTCAATAATGTGAAAAGTTTACAGATGGACGGATGAATGGACAGACAGATGGACTACAGACAAAATGTGATCAGAAAAGCTCACTTTAGCTTTCAGCTCAGGTTAGCTAAAAAAGATTTGTTCATAAAATTTATACTTTTGCAAAAAATGGGAAGAAACCCTAGCAAAACTCCCTTATCAAATGCTGAATTGTATCAAATTTGACATACAAAGACTTTAGAAGTTTTAGAGAAATATAAAAAATTAATGTACTCCAAAAGACATATAAGAAAACTTCAGCATCAGGTTCAAAGTAGAGCATGAGAAAAAATACTAACAATGTTAATATAACAAAATCATAGAAATTATTATTTCTTATAAAAAATGTATTAATAACTCAACTCAAAACTGGCATGAAAATATATAATCACATCAACAGGCATGGCTTAATGAACTTATTCAGTTAGATTGTATCAATTTATTTAAATGTGACATTTGGCAAACACCTTCAAATAAATTAAAACATCAGTCAAAGCTGGCATGCTGCATTTTAATACTTTGTATTCTTGTTATCAGTTCACACATTGAGAGTATTAGATTCTGATGAATACAAGAATATATATAAACAAAGGAAATGATCATGGCCAAAAAACATCACTACAAGTCTGTTTACAGTTGAGTCCTGGTATTCATAATTCTAAGACAATATATAAAAATACTGATTGTTTGCATGGCTATCAAGTTTAAATTCTGACATAAGTATTGATAAATACAATTGGGTATTTCAACATAAATGGAGGTTGATGTAGAATTGCTTTCACCTTTAGCAAATACATGGAGGGCTTTGAAAACATTACATGTATCCTGCCCTGCAGGGAGTATGCATACTGATAAAATCATTTTTACATAAAGAGTTACCTATCATAACAAGGGAAGTAACTCATCAAAGGGATGTGCAACCTTAACCTGAATTATTCGTTTGACAACTCATCCTTGTATTTCAATGTCTCCACCAAATCGAGCCATGATAAAAATAACCCCAAACCCAAACAGCATTCCAACGTTCTGAACAATAAATATCCATCGTGTTCCAAACATCTTTTTATAGTCCTCATTCTCTGCTGCGCTGTTCATCTCTGGCATCTAAAAACAGAAATAGGGTATTTAAAACAAACCAAGGAATTTTAAAGTGGGTTGACAGTCACGGTAGCTCAGTCCATGGAGCTCAATGATTGTAAGGTCATGGGTTTAAGCCCCAGCCACAACAGACCTAAATCGATTAAGAATAAGGTAGCAAATATTCCTTTGCCAAACGCTTAGCACTTTGAGGTGAAAGTAGCACGTCTTTTGGATGAGACCTTAAAAATTGAGGCCCTGTGTCACAGTAGGAGTCTACATGAGTGAAAATCTCAAATGGGGTGTAAAACAACACACAATCAATCAATCAATCAAAAAATTGGATTCTTTCAAAGTTTCATAAATATATGAAAGGTATAATCATATCACAATTCATTACTAAATTCTTCTTCATTTCTGTTATTATGAATGAGTATTATTTAAAAAATCATGTTTTACTACCGATAAGTAGGAGAACATGATGTCTTCTATTTGAATTAATATTTAATCTATGAATGTGAATATTCATACCATGTCTACCAATGATATGTACAGGAACATTCCACCAGCAATGGCAAAGATCCAGGTGTGGGCGGTGGTGTTAGCACCAAGGATCGTACCCAGAACCAGTCCGAGGTAACACGTACAGGCAGACAGAAAGTTGTACATCAACGCCTTCTTCACAGACATCCCAGAATTCAACAGGATAGCAAAGTCACCTAGAAAACAAGAACAAAGGTTACATAGTCCTAGTGAAGTAAGACTATAAAATGCTTAGAGATCTATATTGTGTCAAAAGTATCGAATGTACAATAGAAAAAAAATCTTATATCTAAAATGAAAAAATAAATACAAAAAACTCAGACAAAGTTATTACCTAGTTCATGTGGCAATTCTTCACATATAACAGCCAGTGATATACTCATCCCAGCAAAGATACTATCAGTGAAAGCTGCACCAATCGACAGACCATCCAGGAAGTTGTGAAGTGCATCTCCAAAGATGATCATCCAAGCGATCGTTCTCACCTCGGACTTCTGCTGCGGATTTACTACCGGGTCATCTTCACTTGAACTTGAGGAACTACCATTCTCCACCTTTTTAAAATTCTACAAATTAAAATTCAATTATTTTAACTGCAACAGTATCTCCCCTAATATTAGTTTTGATTAAGTTATCATAGTGATTACAGAAAAATGTCATGAATTTTGCAATGAAGACCGATTAGGCTTGCTGCAGATATGAACACTAGCTGTTGTCTTTTATATATTCAAGGCTTGATTCAAAATACTGTAGATCACCAAATTTTTAAGACATTTCAGCAAGATAGACCTTTGTTATTTACAAGTGAGACAAAATGTTCCCAAATTTTGACTCTAGTATTATCAATCTTTTATAATAAAAATATATGCTACAATTAAATTTTCGCAATCAGACAGCCTGGTGTAAATACACAAAAATAGTTCTTGTGAATAGAAAGTGACTGACATTAAGCCAAGGCAAAAATTCAATTCCAAAAAATCACTGGCAACTCACTGGTTTAAAAACTCAAGAGATACCACTTGTACCAGGTTTGCCAGCTTTGCATTCATTCATAATAAAGATGTCAATTTTGTGTAATTTAAAAGAAATACTAAGAAGACATCTAATTCTTTTGGAAAGAACATTTGTACCAAATCTGGTGGCTTAACTGACTCACAGACATAATGGAAAACATTCTTCAGAAATATAGACAAACAAAACTTAGTGTTTCTTCACTGCAATAACTGCCTTCTCAGCTCATCTTTACAGATTAAGTAGACAATGACAGAAAGTTACTTAATTTCTAGACAGAATACAATGTACAGGAAGTATTCCAACTACCCTAATATGACCTTAAAGATGGACAGACTAACTTCTTCTCTAGAATGTGTCCTGACTGCCCTATTGTCGTACAGACAGCTAGACAGACAGATTAACATCTTCTTTAGATATATAAAGTGTCCTGACTGCCCTATTAAAGCTAACATAAATACAGACAGACAGACTAACCTCTTCTCTAGACAATGTACATAATGTGTCCTGACTGCCCTGGTAAAAGCTGGCTTTTAATGCCTGTTGAGATTCTGGGGTGTGTTTTAAGGACTCAGGGTGCAGTGTTGATGTGTCACTACACTTCTGTCGTTCCGTAGTTGGAGTCTTGGCTACCACGCTTCCTCTGTTGGTAACAGAGTAAGACTCTTCTTTGGAGTTTTCATTATTTTTCTGAATCAAAGAAATATATATGAACATTAATAATTAACAGATATTTAATTAACAAGCACATGTTCTAGTAACAATGGTAAACTCTGTAAATTCCATGTATTGTTAATCTTATAACTTTTTTAGATTTAAAAAAAACCCCACTATTTTTTGTCTGATTAGCCTTGAAAGCCTGCCGATTTTTCACCCTCATTTTATATATAAGTCAAGATCTTTTTAGCATCAGATGCTTTGACTGGGACCATTACAGGTTATAATGCCTACTCTTAAGTCAGCAGTGTTTACATTTTGAAATCCTTCTTACTGAATATTAAGCTTTTTTTTTTTCTAATTCTTCATTTTCCCCCAATATAAATTTAAACCTATAGGTATAACATATAGAATGTTCTTTACATAATATCTACTAAATGGATGGGCCTCACGTCAAAAAAGCTTACAATGTATACAAAATATAATGTGTTCCCTGAAACGTCTTGTCCTTGACTTCAAGGATAATGACCTCAAACAGTTCATTTACCACAAGAAATTAAAATATGTCCACCTTTCACTTCCAGAAAACAATGACTTGAAGATTGTTAAGAAATATCATTGACTTATACTGACATAATAAAAAAAACAGCCTATATACACAGAAATTTATATAGGTCTAATGATGATAAGCATTCCTACAGAAATAACTTGTAGTTCTTTCTGACAAGTAGAGTTTAATTTTTCCTGAGACAGATGTACACATCAAAATAAATGAAAATTTTCCTGGGAAAATAATTTTCCACGGATACATTAAGTAAATATAGAACTCCCATCACACAGTCAGAAATTTGCAAAATTAAGGACCACCTTAATTAATATCAATTTATGATTGATGCATTAATAAATAGATTAGTGGAAAAGACAGAAAATAATGTTGCTAAAGGTACGCAGAAATGGCTATCCTTAAATTACAAGGTGATTGCTGAACTAACATATGTACATGTATACTGAACTGAAACAGATTATTTCTAGCAGATTAAAGCTATTAGTTAGCTAGTAGTCAATAAATGTCATGTGGAAAATTACAACTATATATTGACAAATAATTATATTCAATATGTAATAGGTATGATTTTATAAAATACAAACCTGAAGACAAAGTTGATTTAAATATTTTATACCAAACAGAAAGTTTTTACGATCTCTTTTTGTTAGTGTTTAATGCACAAATTTACATGAACTATCATAACAATGCAAACATCCACTGATCATATCTGGGCAGGTTACAGAAGGAAAACTTGAACAATCACCATACAGTAGGGTTAACAGTAGTTTAGTTTAACAGTTTGTCATGCAGGAAATAGTTTTTACTTTGATACACTTTCATCATGCATAATAACATTTTTTAATGATTACTCGGTGAATTATATTTCAGTCTACAGAAAAAAAATTCATTTAAGAACCAATATATACATGTAGCTGCCACCTTAACTGCTGAACTCAGCTATTACAAATCATTTAACAATACCTGGGACATACTGAATTTCTCGAGTCTACTGTCATGAATATTCATCAAACAATGGACTCTTAATCGATAATGTCAATATTTTTAGATTAGCAAAAATTGAAATTGATAATATTTAATGTAACCTTGAAAAACTGCCATTTGTTTATCTAAAAAAAAAAAAAAAAAAGAAAAATGTGGTACCCAGATTTACCTCTTCTATAAATGGTGTCTGAACTTCCATGTTATATTCTCCACTACCTTCCAGATATAAATTGGTTCTACGTGGGCTTTTCTGTTAAAAATTGAACAAACATAAAAGTGCACGATGCCAAGCAGAAAGAAATAAACATGCAGTTATACATTCACAGAGAGCTTACAGAATAGATACAGATAGGTTCATCCAAATCTTACTAACTAAAGATATATTCAGTCTTATATTATTCTAATGTATGCTAATACTAAACTTAGAAGTCTAATTAATATTACTTCATTTACTAAACTATTTTCCCAATTACACCATTTCAGAATTAATATGTACTCTATAGTTTTACATACTATTAGGATAAGAGTTTCATATATGTGTTGATCTAATTTTGAATTATACGCATTCATGTTTACAACTACACAATCATATTGACTCTAAATCACATAATTTAAAGAATTATATATAAATATTAAAAAAAAAAATTGTGGCATACCCCTCAACCAAATGTATTTGAAGTTGAATAATTTGGTGGTTATACAAACTTTCTATTTACATGATTCACATTTTAAAAAATCATCTAAACATGTTCTGCAAACAAAATGGTCTTTACAGTTTATATTCACCGAAGTGTCCAAAAGCTTGTTTAATTTGAATTATTTCAAATCTAAACTAATTTAATAAGGCAGTCTTTATGAAAGTTTTTTGGGTTACACGGAACAAATGGTCCTTTGTACTCAATGAACACACACAACCAAACCATATTTTGTCAGACCAAAAAACATAATGTAAGAAAGTGAAATAAATGAAAATGTAGAATCATGGAAATCTGGCAGTTTATGTGGTTTTAATCATTCTCATTTATAGTAATAGGATTTGTTCAATATTTTTAATTTTAAAAAAAAAGTTTTTATGACTTGTGCTAAAATAATAAAACTCAAAACCTGACACTAAGACATTAGATATTCTGGTTCAGTGTAAAAAATAATGCATCCAACCTGAGGCACTGTGCACATTCAGGTCAGGTCCGATGGTTCAATGTTTTATCTTATAGACTGATGTAAGGATGCCAATCATGCTAATGAAAGTTTGTTATCTGTACATCTTGAGAAGACAATTTTATGTTCTTTTTCCTGTGTACTTGAATCTTGACTCCTCTTTGGCCCCACTCTGGATCTGGGGTGCCATAGGTCCATCAACTTATTCACTATAACAAAGCATCCATGATTTGTGATATCTGGTTCAGTAGTTCTTGAGAAGAACATTTTAATATGAACCTACATTATATTCATTGTTCCTTTATAACATGTATTATCTCCCTTGGGCTTGGTCTTTCATTTAGAAATATCTCAAACCCCTTTCTGTAAACGTTGACCAAGTAGAGCTGCAGAAGAATTTAAAAAATGTGAAAAGTTTATGCCATTGGACAAAGCACAAAAATTGACAGACACAGACAAGAGTGACTTGGATGACTTTAACCCAAAATTCCTCAGGGGAAAAAGTTTAAATTTTTATGTTTCACCTTGTTACATGTAAATTACAAACTCACATTGTACATCATTGCGTGATTCAGCCAAGGTGCCTGAAAATTTTCATAAATATGCATTCCTTCAACAAAGATGAAGGAATTTTGTTTTTGTATACACATCTTTAAACATAGACTTTTCCACGTTTGTTTAATGATTCATAATAAGGATAAACTGTGATATGCTAATTATTCATAAATAATAAAGAAAGACTGTGATATGCCAATGAATTCAGACTTTATTTACGCAGGTTTCAGGCCACCCCAAACATTAATGGACATGCTTAAGAAAATTATACCTCAACAAAAAGTTCACTTTCTACAAAAAAATATATGATTGTTTTTTTTTTTTTTTTTTTTAATTCTATTACACTTTTTCTTTGCTTTTTTTGATTGATCATGTTGATTGTTGGCAGAGTAGTATAAAGTTAAAAGCTTATAAATAGCTGTGCCTGCCCTCTAAGAAGCAAAAGTTCATACTCAGTTAAAGCTTTGCTTACAAACAGATCTATGCAGTGTTGACTGTTTTAATGCTGTTGTGTACATTTGTCATGCCTCACTGAGTGTTGTCTGTTTTAACACTGTTGTGTACATTTGTCATGCCTCACACAATGTTGTCTGTTTTAACACTGTTGTGTACATTTGTCATGCCTCACACAATGTTGTCTGTTTTAATGCTGTTGTGTACATTTGTCATACATCACTGAGTGTTGTCTGTTTTAACACTGTTGTGTATAGCGCTGTGTATTGAGCAAAATATTTCGATACGATACAATATTTTTTAAAGCGATATGCGATATATTGGATTATTTATTAAGTCTTTCACAAATGTCTTGTAAATGCATAAATTTCATAAAAACTGGGTGAGTCTAACATAACATGTTAAAATATAGCTGTCTATTTTTTGTAATAGTTATTTAATATGTGCTATCTCCTTAATGTTTATTTCATTATTGACCAGTTTTAATTCAAAACAGTTAAAAATAATCTTTGGTAACTGAAATTCCCAACTTTTTTACAGAATTATAAGGAAAACTGCCTGTCCGATACGTATTGGAAGTTATTTTTTCGATACGATACATTCCTGAAAATCGATACGTATTGAATATTCGATATATTGACACAGCCCTAGTTGTGTACATTTGTCATGCCTCATACAATGTTGTCTGTTTTAATGCTGTTGTGTACATTTGTCATGCCTCACTGAGTGTTGTCTGTTTTAATGCTGTTGTGTACATTTGTCATGCCTCACACAATGTTGCCTGTTTTAATGCTGTTGTGTACATCTGTCATGCCTCACTGAGTGTTGTCTGTTTTAACACTGTTGTGTACATTTGTCATACATCACTGAGTGTTGTCTGTTTTAATGCTGTTGTGTACATTTGTCATGCCTCACTGAGTGTTGTCTGTTTTAATGCTGTTGTGTACATTTGTCATGTCTCACACAATGTTGTCCATTTTAAGATTATTGTGTACAGTTGTCATGCCTCACTGAGTGTTGTCCATTTTAATGCTGTTGTGTAAATTTGTCATACCTCACACAATGTTGTCTGTTTTAATGCTGTGTGTACATTTGTCATGCCTCACTGAGTTTTGTCTGTTTTAACACTGTTGTGTACATTTGTCATGCCTCACACAATGTTGTCTGTTTTAATGCTGTTGTGTACATCTGTCATGCCTCACTGAGTGTTGTCTGTTTTAATGCTGTTGTGTACATTTGTCATGCCTCACACAATGTTGCCTGTTTTAATGCTGTTGTGTACATTTGTCATGCCTCACTGAGTTTTGTCTGTTTTAACACTGTTGTGTACATTTGTCATACATCACTGAGTGTTGTCTGTTTTAATGCTGTTGTGTACATTTGTCATGCCTCACTGAGTGTTGTCTGTTTTAATGCTGTTGTGTACATTTGTCATGTCTCACACAAAGTTGTCCATTTTAAGATTATTGTGTACAGTTGTCATGCCTCACTGAGTGTTGTCCATTTTAATGCTGTTGTGTACATTTGTCATACCTCACACAATGTTGTCTGTTTTAATGCTGTTGTGTACATTTGTCATGCCTCACTGAGTGTTGTCTGTTTTAATGCTGTTGTGTACATTTGTCATGCCTCACACAATGTTGCCTGTTTTAATGCTGTTGTGTACATCTGTCATGCCTCACCGAGTGTTGTCTGTTTTAACACTGTTGTGTACATTTGTCATACATCACTGAGTGTTGTCTGTTTTAATGCTGTTGTGTACATTTGTCATGCCTCACTGAGTGTTGTCTGTTTTAATGCTGTTGTGTACATTTGTCATGTCTCACACAATGTTGTCCATTTTAAGATTATTGTGTACAGTTGTCATGCCTCACTGAGTGTTGTCCATTTTAATGCTGTTGTGTACATTTGCAGTGATTCATTTTGGTGTGTGTCCTGCGTAAATTACGCACAAATTTTGCTCAGGACGCATTATTTCAATAAATGTGCATCCCAATGGACGCAATAAATTTATAGAAGGACATGTACTATTTTAAATTATTTCAGTATAACCTGATTCAAAACTTGACAGATTGCATCATATCCACGTGCTAAGCGATATGCATGAACGATTTTAACAGGTATAAGGTTGCCAACAACAGGTCAGGTTTCACAACTGCAGTTAAAAGCAATTATCAGAAAATATTTGAAAGTTAGATAGCATAGTTCGATTATCACTGATTATGTCTATACCGTGGAACGTTTCTGAAGCGAATACTATACCTTTGTATTTAAGCTGTAACCTGTATCATTGGTTTTTTCTTTTCGTTTTTTCCTTACAAGCTAAGAAGTATAAAATTTAATCATTTTTATTTCTGACTATTTGTCATTATTACTTCTTAATTTTTTTTACTTCATTCGGCTTCTGTGCATTTTATGACTGATACAATGTGTGAGATCGTATGAGATCTAAAAATAGAACCAAAGTGCACAGTGGACAATATATTATTTTTATGACACAAAATCGTGTATTCTTACTTGGACAATTGATAGAAAAAGACTAAAAGTATAAATCCATCACAACTACAGTAAAACATTTGCACTTTCATGCAATACCCTTTTTTATTTCACCAGAATTTCCTCTGTAACATCTAATATATGGTACCCTTGGATTTGGACGCATTGATTTTGGCACGGGACTCATTGTTGTCATTAAGAGGGGTCCTTTGGACCCATGATAACCATTTTCAAAATGAATCACTGCATTTGTCATATCTCACACAATGTTGTCTGTTTTAATGCTGTTGTGTACATTTGTCATACATCACTGAGTGTTGTCCATTTTAATGCTGTTGTGTACATTTGTCATGCCTCACTGAGTATTGTCTGTATTAATGCTGTTGTGTACATTTGTCATACATCACTGAGTGTTGTCCATTTTAATGCTGTTGTGTACATTTGTCATACATCACTGAGTGTTGTCTGTTTTAATGCTGTTGTGTACATTTGTCATACATCATTGAGTGTTGTCTGTTTTAATGCTGTTGTGTACATTTGTCATGCCTCACTAAGTGTTGTCCATTTTAATGCTGCTGTGTACATTTGTCATGCCTCACTGAGTGTTGTCTGTTTAAATGCTGTTCTGTATATCTGTCATGCCTCACTCAGTGATGTCTGTTTTAACACTGTTGTGTACATTTGTGATGCATCACTGAGTGTTGTCTGTTTTAATGCTGATGTTTACATTTGTCATGCCTCACTGAGTGTTGTTTAGCTGTTTTAATGCTGTTTTGTACATTTGTAATGTATCACACAATGTTGTCTAGCTGTTTTAATGCTGTTGTGTACATTTGTCATGCCTCACTGAGTGTTGTTCGTTTAAATGCTGTTGTGTACATTTGTCATGCCTCACTGAGTGTTGTCTGTTTTAATGCTGTTGTGTACATTTGTCATACATCATTGAATGTTGTCTGTTTTAATGCTGTTGTGTACATTTGTCATGCCTCACACAATGTTGTCTGTTTTAATGCTGTTGTGTACTTTTGTCTTGCATCACTGAGTGTTGTCTATTTTGATGCTGATGTTTACATCTGTCGTGCCTCACACAGTGTCTGCAATTTCTTCTCACAGTACACATTGTTCTAACAGCATTCAACAAGTGCCTGATGGAATATATTGGAATATATCCTTATTTGTTCAAACTGTGCTGCCTAATCAAATCTCAATGTGTTTTATGAAAAATCACATTTTGTAAGGATTATAGATTGTAAAAGTGTTATCATACAACCACAATATTTTGATATGTCTAACGTATGCTATTAAAAAAAGATGAGGATATCTTACAATACACTCACAGAAACTCGCACATTTTTCAATCAGGGAAGATTTTCATGCTAACAATTTTTTCAACATTGGAATTTTGCAGGACATGACCTAAAACACGCTTTGAATTTTCTATGATCAAACAAATACAGGAGAAGTGTACGTTCAAAAAATATCATTCAAACTCCATAATCTGTACTCTGCAGTGTGTATAAGCATGCAATTATCTTATTTACTTTGACCATGTTTCTACAAGTCTCTGATGAGACTGATACTCTACTGTTCTACATTGTCATCTGGAGAAAATGAGCTCAACTGAGCTTCTCATACATTTTCAAAGTTTTGATTTATCAGTTCAACATTGAAAAAAATTTCAAAAAAGTTTTAAGAATATCTTACCTTTTTGAAATCTAAGAGTATTTTTAGAACACGTTCAATCAGGAAGAACAGGTACACCCCTCCTGCAACAGTGACTGCCTTCCAGAGGTAGTCATGGTTACCATCAGGATTCTGTAGGAATCCAAATGCCTGAATAAGGACATAAAACATGGAATTAATAAAGCCGGAATCCAAACACCTGAATAAGGACATAAAACAAAGAATTAATAAAGCAGGAATACAAACGCCTGAATAAGGACATAAAACATGGAATTAATTGTGTAAAGCAGGAATCCAAATGCCTGAATAAGGACATAAAACAAAGAATTAATAAAGCAGGAATCCAAATGCCTGAATAAGGACATAAAACAAAGAATTACTACAGCAGGAATCCAAACACCTGAATAAAGACATAAAACAAAGAATTACTACAGCAGGAATCTAAACGCCTGAATAAGGACATAAAACAAAGAATTAATAAAGCAGGAATCCAAAGGCCTGAATAAAGACATAAAACAAAGAATTAATTCTGTAAAGGAGGAATTCAAACGCCTGAATAAGGACATAAAACATGGAATTAAAAAAGCAGGAATCCAAACGCCTAAATAAGGACATAAAACAAAGAATTGATTCTGTAAATCAGGAATCCAAATGCAAGATTCCAAACACCTGAATAAGGACATAAAACAAGGAATTAATAAAGCAGGAACCCAAATGCCTGAATAAGGACATAAAACAAAGAATTAATAAAGCAGGAGTCCAAACGCCTGAATAAGGACATAAAACAAAGAATTACTAAAGCAGGAATCCAAACGCCTGAATAAGGACATAAAACAAAGAATTAATAAAGCAGGAATCCAAATGCCTGAATAAGGACATAAAACAAAGAATTACTAAAGCAGGAATCCAAACGCCTGAATAAGGACATAAAACAAAGAATTACTAAAGCAGGAACTCAAATGCGTGAATAAGGACATAAAACAAAGAATTACTAAAGCAGGAATCCAAACGCCTGAATAAGGACATAAAACAAAGAATTAATAAAGCAGGAATCCAAACGCCTGAATAAGGATATAAAACAAAGAATTATTTCTGTAGAGCAGGAATCCAAACGCCTAAATAAGGACATAAAACAAAGAATTACTAAAGCAGGAATCCAAACACCTGAATAAGGACATAAAACAAAGAATTACTAAAGCAGGAATCCAAAGGCCTGAATAAGGACATAAAACAAAGAATTACTAAAGTAAGAATCCAAACGCCTGAATAAGGACATAAAACAAAGAATTACTAAAGCAGGAGCTCAAATGCGTGAATAAGGACATAAAACAAAGAATTACTAAAGCAGGAATCCAAACGCCTAAATAAGGATATAAAACAAAGAATTAATTCTGTAGAGCAGGAATCCAAACGCCTAAATAAGAACATAAAACAAAGAATTACTAAAGCAGGAATCCAAACGCCTGAATAAGGACATAAAACAAAGAATTACTAAAGCAGGAATCCAAACGCCTGAATAAGGACATAAAACAAAGAATTACTAAAGCAGGAATCCAAACGCCTGAATAAGGACATAAAACAAAGAATTAATAAAACAGGAATCCAAACGCCTGCATAAGGACATAAAACAAAGAATTAATAAAGCAGGAATCCAAATCCCTGAATAAGGACAGAAAACGTGGAATAAATAAAGCAGGAATCCAAATGCCTGAATAAGACATAAAACAAAGAATTAATAAAGAAGGAATCCAAACACCTGAATAAGGACATAAAACAAAGAATTAATTGTGTAAAGCAGGAATCCAAACCGCTGAATAAGGACATAAAACAAGGAATAAATAAAGCAGGAATCCAAACGCCTGAATAAGGACATAAAACAAGAATTAATTTTGTAAAGCAGGAATCCAAACCCCTCAATAAGGACATAAAACAAGGAATAAATAAAGCAGGAATCCAAACACCTGAATAAGGACATAAAACAAGAATTAATTGTGTAAAGGAGGAATCCAAATGCCTGAATAAGGACATAAAACAAGGAATAAATAAAGAAGGAATCCAAACGCCTGAATAAGGACATAAAACAAAGAATTAATTCTGTAGAGCAGGAATCCAAATGCCTGAATAAGGACATAAAACAAAGAATTACTAAGGCAGGAATCCAAAAGCCTGAATAAGGACATAAAACAAGGAATTAATAAAGCAGGAACCCAAAGGCCTGAATAAGGACATAAAACAAAGAATTAATTGTGTAAAGCAGGAATCCAAACACCTGAATAAGGACATAAAACAAAGAATTAATTGTGTAAAGCAGGAATCCAAACACCTGAATAAGGACATAAAACATGGAATAAATAAAGTAGGAATCCAAATGCCTGAATAAGGACATAAAACATGGAATTTATAAAGTTGAACTTGCTTTTGCAGAAATTTGGTTCAAACAGTGTCATACAAGGTTCATTTACATTTTACCATATAACACTAACAGACATTCCTCAGAAGAAAAAAAGTGACTAAGGTCCAATGGACATCAAGGAAAGCAGACCAGTTACTACAAGCAAACTCTTATTTGTGAGCAAGAAATATCTGCAGGTTTCATGACCTTTTACTCGCGAATATTGCTCACTGCAAACAAATTATTCACCTATATGCATTTAGGTAGAATGTTGCCTCAGTTGCGAAAAATTAGTAGTCACTGATGAATTCCAAACTAAAGAGTCGCAAATAAAAGATGTCCAGTGACCTAACCTAAGGATCAATAATCATAATTATCTTACCTCAGGGATGAGGACCAACATTCCACTACCAGCCAGACTACCCACGGCCAACGCTACCATAAAAATCAGAATCTTCACATAAAACTTCCTCTTCATGAATGGCAGCACAACTGCCCCAGCCAGAGAGCAAATGTTGATAATGGTCACAAAGAGAAAGCCAAACCCCCATGCTGTAAAATAATTTTTTTAGAACAAATATACCATATGTGGTTGCCTTATGTTATTAAATATATGCAGATCATTTTCCTTTGTCACCAAATTGATAAAATTTTATCAACTATTTTCCAAATAAAGTATTACAATGAAGAAACAGGAACGTAAGTAAACAGTATGTTAATTGTTAATATAATTGATGCAATTTTATTTTCAAATTATTACTCATTGTGAGCATTTTCAAAACAAAATAATTACATTACACATGTATTTTGCTTATAAAAATTTGCTTATAAAATGCGTGGAAAGCCACAACATTCAAAACACCATAACATGGACAGGAGATCAAAAGGTTATAGAATGCGTTTTATTTTGACGTCACAAACGATGAACAATTTGGAAGTGGAACGTCATAGGCGAAAATCAAAATTCACGCTCATATGAACCATCAGCTGTTGCAATGGCTCTTCCATTAATTGTAGCTAACCAAGGATAATACAGGGATTTTGAAATATAAATCACATTTGCAGTCAATGCAAGGAGTTATAAAATGTAAATATAAGTATTGAATGATTTTTATTTGAAAAATATAGTCTCATAACTGCAACGATGTGTGCAAACTCAATTTGTTTGCACACACCATTGCGGGTATGAGACTATATCTGTCAAAAAATAATCATTCAATACTTAATTGATAAGTACTCTTTTTAAAATTTGTTTGTGGATGCAAAGACCCACAATTTTGGTTGCATAAATTTTGGAACTTGAACCTCTAGATGGCTTCTGAGCTTTGCTTCAGATTATGCAGCAATATACCTTCATCACCTGCATACGGGGTTTATATCTCTCAGTTGATTCGATACGCAAGAGCATGCTCTACATACAAACAATTTCTAAAATGAGGTAGGTTACTGACAAACAAGTTGATGAAACAAGATTATCAGCAGTCTCATTTAAAGTCGTCATTTCGTAAGTTCTATGGTTGATACAATGACCTTGTCAGCAAATACAATTTATCATTAAGTCAAATGCTGACTGACATTTTTCATACTTATTGTTAGGCCATTATTTACACACTGAATTGTAGACAGATTTTTCTGTTATTTCCTGATCATGACAAGGAGCACACGGCAGGTGTGACCGGTCAGCAGGGGATGCTCACTCCTCCATGACACCTGATCCCACCTCTGATGTTTTAGAGGTCCATGTTTGCTCTGCTCCAAAATTTGTATTGTTTAGTGGACTTTTGAGCTTGAATACTGTTTGTTATCTCCATACATTTCATTAAAGATAAAATTGTTAAAGTTTGTATTTTCAGTTGACAAAATGTCAAGTTATTTTATCTTTTTTCTTGAATTTATTTTTTCATTTTTTGTGTTTTTCCCTTCAAGAAAATACATGTACCGGTAACATAAATAGTGCATAAAATTGCAAAATAATGTACAGGTAAATCTATGGTGACATTAATTAACCTTAAATACTATTAAAACAAATTAATAATCAAAACTGGCATGTGGGAATAGGGTGAATACACTCATTTAATCTATAGAGTAAAAACAACTAGAAGAAGCTAATATGGCATGATGCAAACTGTTCCTTAGAAAAGGTTAACTACTGAGCAAAATACTCTAAATGTCAAAAGGTAAACTAACTCTGGAATAATTCATGTCCCGATTTTGTGGTTGAGCGAGAGATTTACATGGAAATTGTCCTAGAAGTGATCTTTTTTTCTGACCAGAGACACATTTATAAGTGACCCTGTCCACTTCATCATAAAATCATGTCCAGTAGACACCTGTCACAGGTGTATACATGTGGTTAATGTTTTTTTTTTTTACCTAATGCAACGTGTATATATCTCCTGTGGAAATTCACCATACACAGGGCTTCAGAACTTTTAATTTCTACTTACACTGAAAACTGAATTGTACTGCATACATATGTATGCAAGTGCATGTATTTTAGCAATGAAAATTTCTTGAATTGCATGGAAATCTGTCATTTTTGTCCTATGACCTTGTAAATAAATTAACAAGACTGAACTGATTTTACTTCGCTGTCATAGTTCTCACATTACAAAGCTAATCATCCAAAAAACAAAATATTTAACACCCCCCCCCCCCATCTCAGCATGTATGATGTACCTCTGCTTCAATCATTATGATCTTGAATCGGTATCTTTTTACATGTTCTGGTCATGAGCATGCTTATAATTCAGAATTTTCCTATATGTAAGTTTACTAGACTATAAGTACACATATAACTATTTGTGTCAAGTCAGTAAGGGGGCTGCAAGTTGTCCATAAAATCAATAGGCTTTTTCCTCTGGTCCCCTTAGGTAACTCTACTGACAGCAAATAGAGAGAGAATAAAGAAGACCTTAGGTACCTCTACCTTAGGTAGAGTTACCTTAGGTAACTCTACTGACAGCAAATAGAGAGAGAATAAAGAAGATGTGAAGCCTGAAAATTTGTAGTTAACTAAGATATATAATAATTTAAAACAGCTATTTCATTAAACAATAAAATGCTTTCTTTGCTTGTTAGTAGAGATAATATTCAGTAGATATAAATATACAAGAATAACTGACTTTAGTTATGCCCCTAACTGTGCATGTACATGTAGTTTTTAATTAATGTTAGCTTACACACTCTATGAGAATGCTACATTCACTTCCAGTTACCTGCTGTTGCTGAGGGTTTTTTGTGACCTTTGCCCTCTAAACTCTTGTGGTGATTTCCCCCTTTTTGCTGACATGCCCGGTGATTGTGTAAGAGTGCTGGTGAAATTTCAACCAATCCCTGGTGAGAGATATCAGTCCCAACCTTGTATCCATGGAGACGTAGGATGTCATCCAATGACAGACACTGTTACAATAATTTTTGTAGATGTTCATAATTCATATGAATTACACTACTGCATGAAAAAGATACTTGTAGAATAAATTTAAAGAATAGTCTCCGATTGATGATAGTATGAAATTAACACCCTCTTATAACATTTTTGAAGGCTTAAAGGACAAGATATGGTAACGGCCCAATCTGGCCCCTTATTTGATGTAAAAATCAGAATTGTGATAGTTTGTAGTTAGGAACTTAAAATGATGCTAAGTGATTTAAAACCAGCACTAATTTTGATTTAAAGCTTACAAGAAGGCCACAAGAGGGTGCGGAAGTAGGCCAATTTCCTGAATTTCCTCAGTTCTGGTGGAATTTTTGTCAAATTTGAGATACTTTTCACTTCGGGAAACATAGAGCACAAGCTTGCCTATCTAAGATTTTTATACATAAGATGCATCTGATGCTAGTGTATGAAATATATAAATTTGGCAGATAGGCAAGCTTGTGCTCTATGTTTTCTGAAACAAAATGTGTTGTAAAATCGATGAAAATTTGCATAAAAATGAGAAAATTCGGAAAATGGCATATTTTCTGACCTTCCTGTGACCTCTGTGTATTCCATAACTTAGAACCATTACTTATTTTGTGGCAGGGGTGACAACAGGTTTTTATTGATAAACTGTTGCATCATTCTAAAAGACACCCCAAACCAGGGGCCAAAAAGGGGTCTTAGCCTATCTTGTCCTTTTGAATGTATACAGATCTCTAGGCACAAATTAAATCCTTCCACTGCAAATGCTGTGCACACTTTTCTGTTAGCATGGTTAGTTGGTTACAAAATATAAAACTTAAAGGGGGGAATTCTACAACATATATTCAGTCACTACAATACATTCTGTACAATATTCAATTATTTATACCTGTACGTATATTCAATGATTTGACATAAAGCATCACTGAAGAGACATAATTTGTCGAAATGTGCATCTAGTGCATCAAAATTGGTACCGATTTACATTTAATGATTTGATGTTACGAGAATGAACAGATAAAGCACTTGAATTATTTTCATTCAGAAAAGTCTGAGGGATTTTGACACATGACTGGAAAAGACAAAAAGCCATCTTAGTTACCTTTTCTACTGCACATAACTTGTCTGAAGAATTCTGACAAATGTCATAAAAATCCTCCTGTCCTGTGAAATCCTGAAATGTGTCTTGAAACTTCTGCCTGGAGATTTTAGAACCGTTACCATTGATGTGGAGAATATGGTTCACAAAACTGATCGTTTGATTGGACACACATAATTCCTTCGTCTGTCCAGCTGATGAGAAGAATAATGCTATGACCAGCATGTACAGGGGGTGCCTTCTCATAACGAACAACCTGAAATAAGTCACTATCAGCTAACAACAGAAAAAAGTTGACACATAACATGTACTAATAGTTCCTCATCATACATGTAAGTATTCTCAAATAAATCATTCAGAGCTTATATATGTAAGAAAAAAGTTTACATAAGTTTGATATGTTATTCTGCATAGTCAAAGAAATCTCAAATGTGACCATAGGAAAGTATAATTATTATTACATGACTTCACTGAACACTAATATCTACAATGCAGATATGCAAACAGCTGTGACTTCAAGCCACAATGCAGGCCTCAGTAGGCAATTTAGGACTAACAGTTTACTTTGTGTGTGTGTGTGTGTAAATCTTAACACATATCTTGATAATTAAGGTACATGGGGAGTTTATTTACAGTAGAAAATGTGAATATTATTATATTCTTATAAATACGCACACTTTGTTAGGCTAATTAAGTAAACACATCAAAATGTAAAGGGAGAAGATATGCTGCATAGGTCATTCTGAGTCATTTTTTAATATTAAATAGACTCAATCTTCTAGGAATTGCTTTCTCTTTACAAAATATTATCTTTAAAAATATATAATAAGTTAATAAAAAATAAATGTTGATGCATTACTTCACATGATATAAGCTCTGCACCAAATGGACCCCCTTGAAATTTTTCTACCCCACAAAATATTTTGCCACATTTTACTTTACATTTGTAGTTTGAGTGCATTTACATTGATTTACAAAGTTGTACATGTGTAAAACAATAATTATATACACCCATTACTTACTGTCCCTAAAATTCACCTTGATTTAGATATAAAAAACAAACATGCAAATTGCCAGTACAATTAGAGACAATGAATCTGACCATGATTGACAGATTCTGGCAAACTGGATGATCTGGGTACAGAAATTAAGTTAGAGTGCTGCGAGTGAATCAACAAGTATCATCAGCTAAAGATGCTTTGATTTGCTTTTCTTGAGACTATAGAAAATTTTTAAAGCTTTTCCTATACATTTCTATGTAAAACTTTGATCCTCCATTGTGGCCCCGCACTACCCCTGGGGGTCATGATTTGAACAAAATTGAATCTACACTACCTGAGGATGCTTCCATATAAATATGACTCATCATGGCTCTGCTGTTCTTGAGAAGTAGATTTTTAAAGATTTTTCCTATATATTTCTATGTAAAACTTTGATCCTCCATTGTTGCCCCGCCCTACCCCCGGGGGTCATGATTTGAACAAACATAAATCTACACTACCTGAGGATGCTTCCATATAAATATGACTGACTCATCATGGCTTTGCTGTTCTTGAGAAGAAGATTTTTAAAGATTTTTCCTATATATTTCTATGTAAAACTTTGATCCTCCATTGTGGCCCCGCACTACCCCTGGGGGTCATGATTTGAACAAACTTGAATCTACACTACCTAAGGATGCTTCCATATAAATATGACTCATCATGGCTCTGCTGTTCTTGAGAACAAGATTTTTAAAGATTTTTCCTATATATTTCTATGTAAAACTTTGATCCTCCATTGTTGCCCCGCCCTACCCCCAGGGGTCATGATTTGAACAAACTTGAATCTACACTACCTGAGGATGTTTCCACATGAGTTTCATCTTCCCTGGCCCTGTGGTTCTTCATCAGAAGATTTTTAAAAGATGCTATTAAATTTTCACTAATTCTTTATTATCTCCCCTTGAAAGAGGGTGTGGCCCTTCATTTGAACAAACTTGAATCCCCTTACCCCAAGGATACTTTGTGCCAAGTTTGGTTGAAATTGGCCCAGTAGTTCTAGAGAAGAAGATGAAAATGAGAAAAGTTTACGACAAACGCCAACGACGACAGACAACGGACAAATTTCGATCAGAAAAGCTCACTTGAGCCTTCGGCTCAGGTGAGCTAAAAACTGGCCTTTTCTAAACATAGTATTTTTTGTGGTAACCCATAATGCAGTTCGACTGATTTAGCTGAATGGTCGGTTTGTCAGTCAGGTTGGTGCCTCATTTGGCATGTAAATTTATTCCGATGTCACAGAAAATAGTTTCCTCGACCTGATAAATAACATTTTTTTTCCTGGAAAAAATTATATAATCTGATTTAATGTCAGGTCATTCCTAAGAAATATCAAAAATATCAGGTCAGTCAATTTTTCACATTTTATGTCTTTAAGACCACATTAATATGCATATTTGAAAAAGTAAACATAAGTATTTTATTTAGAGGTACTTAGAAAAATATGAAAATAACAATTGTTAAGAAGATACACCCAAAACATAATGATGAAAAAATAAGAAATTTACTTCTATCATCTCTCACACGTTATTTTTGATCTTCTGTTAAATAAAGCCGCAGAGTGTGTTTAAAACATATGTTAATTTTGCCTAAATTAATTATAGAGATAATTCATTATTTACAAAACTTTTAAATTCTTTTGAACAATTCTTTTCTTTTGAACAACAGAGGAATTTCGGGAAACACGGCAGATCTGAGGATTTCATAAAACGATGAATATTGACAGAAACTCCATCAAAAGAACATAAAAGTTTTAACAAAATAACAAATTTATTTATATGACAGGCCAAAAAACTGTTTATTGATTATTTACCTGCTCAGTACAAAACGCAATCCTTTTGCCTGTTTTGTTGTTTTTTTTCCTCGCCGAACGGCGAACCCTTTCTGCGTGTTACAGTCAATGTCAATCTTACGCATAGTATTACTATTCATAAAAGCGCAATTTCTAAACGCATGAAAGAGTATGCAGAATGACACAGGCGTGGATCCCAATATTATTAAAGAAATGCATATTGATGAATAAATGCAGAAATAAATAAATAGATAAATGAATAAATAAAAATAAATAAGATAAATACATAACATATAGATAAAACATTTTTTTAATCATTGAACGTAAATTAAAAAAAATATTCACATTTCAGCCATTAATCAAAATCACAACTTAAGTGCATTTTAAGTCTGCACACTGGTGCCTGTCCATTTCTCAGTTTCTTTTTCTTGCATGAACATATGTACTAAACATGCTTAACGCCGGAGTTGATTAACGTGAAGTTATGTTACAAGGAAATAGGCAATGTTTTTCCTTCGTAACTTAGAGAACATATTTTGTCATTTGAGAAATTACATCAATAATGTTCAGATTAAAAACTTACTTTTAAGACACTGATCTTTATCAAGATCCAGAATCACAACCAAATAAAGTAAAATGACTACCTTGTTTTTCTTAGATCGCCGATACTGATGCTTACCTTGCACTTCAGTTGACAGTCGTTATGTGCCACAAGCCCCGCCTCGCTGCTCTCGGACAGAACCTTCAAACTGTAGACAATTTCTCATAAAATATACGGGAGTATATAACAGAAAAGTTCAAGTCCAAGTACTTCAGTCCCTCTAAACTAAAGCATGTAAATGTCCATACTTTTAAATGGTACATTTTACACAAGCAAGTAGCATCAGCGGGGGTGGGGTGGGGGGTGGGGGTGGGGGGATTTTTCTACTAAGAACTATTGAAAATGTTCATTGAAAGGCCCGTCCCCCACTTTTTTGCAGACAAAGTCAAATAAGAGTAATGTAGTAGTGTATAAATAAAATTTGGTACTGAAAGAAGTTGGACCCCCTTCCCCCCCTCTATGGTGTTCCGTTGGGGCCACTCGCACCTTCGCACTCTCGCCTTTAGGGCGAAGATGCGAGAGTGCGAAGTTGCGAAGGCGAAGGAGCGAAAGTGCGAAGATGCGACGGCGAAGTTGCGAGGGCGAAAGTGCGAATTCGAAGGTGCGAAGGCGAAGGAGCGATACTAGTATCGCTCCTTCGCCTTCGCAACTTCGCATTTTCGCCCTCGCACCTTCGCACTTTCGCCTTGGCCTTTTTTTTGTGGAGTTATCTATCGTATGCTTACAATGTAGATCGAAGTATATCTACTGTATATATGCAAATTTATATTACACCAGGATATATCAAAATCAAACTTTTTACAGTTTGTGGATCATGATAAAATCTTAATTGTGTTCCTTGTCTTTTAGTTGAGACTGTGATGCACACCACCACTACGAATACATATATATCTTTAATTTTGCTCGTGCACATGCACCAATTACAACAATCATTTACCATCATTACATTATATAATCTACCATTGTATATAAAATCAGAGTGTCCGGTAATCAATAACACTATTTCTCGTTTCATAAAATAGCAAGTGTATATTCATTAGTAAAAACGTCAATGTACAATGAATTTCAACCATTGCTTAGCATCCATTTTGGCACCGTCACACTAATCTAGCGCATGCGTACCAATGACATCCAAGAGCCCACTAAAATTAACTCATAACTACAAAGGGCTCCACAGTAGTAAAATGCGAAGGCGAAAGTGCGAAGTTGCGAAGGCGAAAGTGCGATATTAGTATCGCTCCTTCGCCTTCGCACCCTCGCACTCTCGTCTTCGTGCTTCGCCGTCGCATCTTCGCACTTTCGCTCCTTCGCCTTCGCACTCTCGCATCTTCGCCCTAAAGGCGAGAGTGCGAAGGTGCGAGTGGCCCCAACGGAACACCATACCCCTCCGGGAGAAATAGGATTTTAGGATTTTCGAGTTTGGACAACTTTCCTTTTTCTTCGGCTTCGCCGTGTGCTCCTTAATTTTCATGATCGGGGAAAACGGAAAAATCCGTAGACAATTCAGTGTGTAAATTATGACCTAATAATTAGTATAAAAAAGTAAGTCAGCTTTTGACTATTAAATGATAGATTGCATTTGCTGACAAGGTCATTGTATCGACCAGAAAACTTGCACAATGATGACTTTAAACGAGACTGTTCTTGTTTCATCAACTTGTTTTTCAATAGCTTGCCTCGTTTTAGAAATTGTGTGTATGTAGAGCATGCTCTTGAGTATATCGAATCAACTGCATGGGAGACATAAACCCCATATGCAGATGATAAGGGTATATATTGCTAAATTAGTAAGGGAAGTTGACAATTGAAAAGTTGAAGTTATCACGTTTATCATAAAGCTTGGTTGTTAGGTTGCCATTGACTTCTTTTCCTATTAAAATATCCAAATAGGAAACAGATGTGTCAGACTCTGTGGTATCTTATTTCAATTTCACTGAGATATATCGAGTCGACTATGAATGGAAGTAATTTTTGTTCACTGATAATATCGTCGATATATCTAAATGTCGAGTTGAAGGCCACAGCGGTGTTTTCTTCTTCTCATGTATAAGATTTTGAAAAAAATTCTACTTCATATGAATACAAAAAAGATTCTTTTTTCTCGCCATGAATCCTCTTTCTTTCTAAAAATCCAAGGAACTTGTAGAAAATTTGAAATCACAAAACTTTACAAAAATTAATAGCATCGATGACACAAGTATTAATTGTATATCTAATTATTATTATTCATAATTGTGCAACATATAATATAATTTATATATTTGTGGTTCTGGTGTATCAAAATTGGTACCGTATATGATTTATATCTATTGGTACCGTATATGATTTATATCTAAGATTACACAATTGGTGCCGTATATGATTTATATCTAAGATTACAAAATTGGTGCCGTATATGATTTATATCTAAGATTACACACTGCTGAAATCCTAGTCAGTGCTTCATGAAACAACATATATACGTGGATGAAAATTATCAGGTCATATCCTCATGATCGTTTAAAACAGACAACTGAAATACTTAATATATTTACATTCCAACATTTCATTTATTTCATATACAAGGAAACTGACAAACTGTGCAAGTTTTATTTCCTCATTTTAACTTGCATGTATACGGTTTAACTGCAATATTACTCCTTGTCGTTTGTAGTTCACAAGGATGTAAACTTTATATTTCTTCTAAGAGACGCCACATGTTATTTAAAAAATCCTTAATGGTTTGTAAAAACCTTAACCTTGAATATTTAAAAATGTCTTCGTTACTTTGGCATTAGTTAACTTTTCGTATTCAAAATAAAATAAAAGATGCGACAAATTACACTTTGGATATCTACAGGACATTCAAACCTTTATAATTAATAATTAATTTGTAATGATTAAATGCTTAATTTATGACACCACCCAACCCCTTCCACCATTTTTCTGTTGATTTTTTCAAATGCTTTCCTGCTTGTGAAAGCTTTATCGGAAAACTCACACAAAAAACGAAATCAAGCATATTAAACAAAAAACATATATGTAGTTTGTCAATAACTACAACTGCATGTTAAAACTATTCTTATATAATGCAATATAGATTCTACATATAATGTCAATTCAATACCTATTACCATAAAAGCATAGCCGCATGTCTTCTATGCCTAAGCAATTAAGCCAACCATTTTAATGGGAAAGATTATGTTGATAATTATATATGTATTTCTTGCAAGCAATAAAAATGGAATGAATTCAACTTTCAAGTTTGACCCGTTTCTTGGCATCCAACAAACACAGCCGTTTCTTCTTTTTTTACCCGACTTGGTAGCCCCCCTCCCTCCCCCCCCATTCTCTCTCTCTCTCAATAAAGTGCAAATACGCGTACCGCGGCACTACATTTCCCACGAATAAAGATATGAAGTTGTAACGTTATACTGAGCTGTCTGGAGCTTGTCTCATTCCGTGTATGTTATTCAACGCTTAATCCAGAATTTTGTTTGAAAAATAAAAGCTTAATAATGTAAATATTGATTATGATATCACAAATAAACCTGAAGTCAACCCTATTCAGGTAGCATATTCTTTAATTAGTGATTCTGGATTATTAAAAAAGTCATTTAATTGATATGTGATTTACATTTATAGGCGTTGAATGACACAATCATGTTATTTTACCAATTCTATCTAAAAGATATACATTTATATGCAATTTCATTAGCAAACATTTTGTTTAATAACAATTTAAGTCGGTAATATTTTTTGAGCTTTATCGTATCTTTAAATGTGTTGTTTTGTTATTTTACAGTTAACTAAAGGCAGATACTACTGCTTGTAGTTCAATTTGATCCACAGGAAACAGTTCTCTTCCTTAATTTTATGAATAAGTACTAACACATAAATATCAATGAGATCTTTAACTATACTGGATTTATAATAAAAGGAGAACTATATTTGATAAATACAGATAAACAGTGCCTTTTGTACCATTCCATATAATAGCATAAATGTTTTTGATGTTAAAAAGTTACAACTTAGTCATATTGCCTCATTTCAGCAAAGCTTCAAGTCCATTTATGTATCCAGATGGGAACGTGCTTGTTTTGCGGCTACAACAAAATTCGATAATTATATTTAAAATTTATTCAAAAAAAATGTGACACGCATATGTGTGCAAAGGATGTGATATTGAGATAATACAGCTCACATGTAGGATAATATTATTTAGAAATAGATCTTTATTAGATCTGTAATTATTTCAAGGTTTTTCTCAATTCAAAATAAAAACTGCACAATGATCGGCGATAGTAACGTAAATATCGATTTCTGCTATAAAATGTGATTTTCTCCTAAGGTATTCGTTAAAGTTACAACAAAAAATTGTTGTGTTTTAATCAACAACCAACATTGGTTCATATGACTGGCAGAAAATAAAATTTATTTGAAATTTTATATATTACTTAAAACACGGTACATTATTTAAAGCGAATTGAGACTATACTTTGAGAATCAACGTTA